GAGGAGGAGGGAGGTCATCACCTCAGCCCTGCCATCCGCACGCGATCCCGCTCCCCATCCCCCCTTCCCTTTGCCCCGAGAGGCTGCTGCGCCCCTCTGCTCCGGGGCGACCTCCCCTCCCCCGGCAGGGAGGCGCGTGGCGGGCAGCTCGGCCGGGCGTCAGCACCGCAGAGCGGGAAGGCAGGGCCAGGCAGGCGGCCGGACGGCGTGGGCGCTGCCTGCCCTGAGCGGGAACCGACCGTCCCGGCAGTCCTGCAGCCCTGCCACGAGATGTTCTTAGAACCCAAGCTGGACGAACGCGTTCCACTACTCGCAAAGTAACTACTCGCACATGACCCGGATCCGCCGCGGGGGAACTACGATAACTTAAATCAAGACGGACGTGTGTTTTTTTCGGACGCTTGCGAGTAGGCACTTTGCGAGTAGTGGAACGCGCTCGGTGACAAACATGTTCGAATAACAGAACCGAGGTTTGTGGGACATAAACCCGATAGGTTAGAACAAGACAGTCCCAGTCAGAACTGTCCTAAGAACACTTCGTGCAGACCACGAAAGGTTCTTAGAACGTTCTTTAGTGGGCCTGTAGGCGAGCCAGGACGCTTCACCACTGCTTGATTGCTGCCGCGCGTCGGTGGAGCCGGCTGCCCACATGACAGCAGGCTGCTGGTCAGAACCGCCACGTAAGGGCAGCACGTCGCCAGCGAGGAGGTGTGCAACGGCTAAGCCTGGTCAAGGCCCGAAGAGGCAGGTGCGGCAGACGCGGTGCTTCCTGGCCGACGGGCTCCACTGCGGTGGTTGTTGCTGCTGCTGCACAGCATGGCTGGATGGTGTTGTCACACGTGCCATGTTTGCTGTGCCGTACTACCTGTTGCTTTACATGTATGTGTTTGCAGTGGTTGGGACTGCCGAGCTGACGACATTGAGGCAAACGTCTGCTATCCTCAGCTCGACTTCTATCAGGTGTAGTGGTGTCCTCAGGGATCAGGGCTCTTGCCGAGCCTAATGCAACGTTTGTGGTCATTCCTGGCTTTGTCGCCTAACAGCTGTGGTCTAGAAAACCGACACTGTTTTTTTTCACATGTGTTGTAATGTGCAGGTGTGCAGGCGATTGTCCCCACACATAGGACTTTCGTACACTACAGCAGGGGAGGGCTACAATAGGCTATTGTGCTGATGGAGCTCCGTCTCCACATGACATTAGGACATGACATTGCAATCAAGCCGAGGTAAACGACGGGACATTACAAACGTTGAACATGGCGCATCTAGGGGACACAACATAGGGGAATGTATGATGCGCCAGCTTAGTGGGAACAGTTGTCAATGCACTCTGGGCCCCCTCATACTTCCAAATTGAGGGAACGATGTGTCCAGACAAACTAGGAGCATAAAATAATCAGACAGCCTCAAATCCCAGGGGGGGCCCTCGGCCGCCAGGCTGAGAAAGGGGATGATCACGCATTGACCCGGGCAGGCGATCCACCACGTCATAACGGCAGCGGCAGCGCCCGAGAAGGGGAAGGAAGACGAGGAGGGAAAGAACACGAGGAAGAAAAAGGAGACGAGGAAGATGAGGAAGGGAAAGGAAAGCGAGGAGGAAAAGGGGAGGAGTACACGAGCCAGAAGAGAAGAGGACGGACGGCCAAGAGCAGAGGACGAAAGAAAGCCCGTCCAGGGGCAAGATAGGTCCGCTGCCTCTCATGGGGGGGCTACCCCGAGCAGACACCGCTAGCACCGAGAACAGGGCAACAGAGGAGGAAAGGAAGGAGGAAGAGGAGTTTTTTTCCGGGAGGAGCGCGCGGGCGCAGAGTGGGAAGAGAGGAGGCTCCGAGACCAACTGCGGGGCTGCCACGGGCCTGGAAACCAAGGGGGTCAGAGCGTCCTTCTCGCGCCGACTCCTCCCTCGGCAGCTCTGGCTCTCTACTGCGGGAGCTCCTCCACAAGGACAGCTGCGGCATTCGTATCGCCCCGCCCTGGCGAGGAAGAGGAGGGAGGGGAGGTGGACGAGGAGGACGAGGAGGAGGGGAGGTGGACGAGGAGGGAGGAGGGAGGGAGGGAGGAGGAAGAGGAGGGAGGGGAGGCACGGAAGACGAGGAGGGAGGAGGGAGGAAGAGGAGGGAGGGGAGGCACGGGATGCCGAGGAGGAGCAGCAGCAGCAGCAGCAGCATGCCTATATAGGAGGCCCTGAGCCCCCGCTGCCCCCCCGCGTGCGCCTCCGGCGGCGCCTGGACCGGCTCCGCCGCGCCCGCGTCCGCGAGCGGGGCGGCGGGCGCCTCTCTGGCCCGGGCAAGGGCCGGGGCGCAGGACGAGGGAGAGGGGCTCAGCGTCAAGCTAGGCGCTCCCCTCCCCTCCCTCCCTCCCTCCCTCCCTCCCTCCCTCCTCTCTCCTCCCTCCTCCTCCCTCCTCCTCCTCCTCCTCCTCCCTCCTCCTCCCCCCTCCTCCTCCCCTCCCCCTCCTCCTCCTCCCCTCCTCCTCCTCCTCCCTCTCCTCCTCCTCCTCCTCCTCCACTCCTCCTCCTCCTCCTCCTCCTCCTCCTCCTCCTCCTCTCTCCTCCTCCTCCTCATCCTCCTCCTCCTCCCCCCCCTCCCTCCCTCCCTCCCTCCCTCCCTCCCTCCCTCGCTCCTCCTCCTCCGTCCTGACGCACGTCGGAGGCCTCCTACGGTCAGGAACATTTGCTTAGAGTGTGGTGGCGGCGGCCGCTGCGATACGGTGCGACTTGCAAGCTGATGGCATGTCGCTCGGCCGCGTGGGGTGGGAGGCGGGGAGGAGCTCGGAACGATGACGATTGGGGACCAGAGCAGTGGTCAGCGTGTCGCGCCGAAGCATGGCTGAGCAAACGCTCGTGACCGTAGTGTCAAGCCGGGCGCGCGAGGCATAGCCGCAGGACGCCCCTGCTGCTGCACGTGCCGCCCCTTCCCCCCCTGGCAGAGCTCTGGCTTGGCAACCCGGTGCGGGGGTCGGCGCCCGAAATGTGTTGCCCAGCGGTGTGGGGCGATAATTATGTTTTGGCGGATATCATCCCCTGGACGACCCTACAAAGTAGAGACATCCGGCTCCTGTTCGCACAAGGCGTGCAGTAAAAGTCCGTACCCTGCCCCCTCGAGTCGCTTTTCGTAGAGTCGTAGAAGCGCTCGCCGACGGACGACGACGGCAACGACGGGCGATGACTACGACGACGACGATGACGGCGCTGGCGGCGAAAGAATGACTATTTCTTGATTATTGTTGGGTGTTGGCCCCAGAAACATCCGCCACCGGGCCTTTAGCACGCAGTGGAGTGCCCCAGCGCTCGCGCAGCCCTGCAACCTGTGAGGCAGAGGGGTTGTAAGGTTCTTAAGAGCCCACGCACTCATTTTCTTGGTGGCTCCCGGGAGCTCCCTGGAGCTTTTGGGAGCTGCCGGAAACCTCGAGAAACTCTCAAGAATGAATCGCCTCTGATAACCAAAGAAAACACCGAAAGGGCCCAACACACCTTCAAGACGGCCCCAAGTTACCTCAGGATAGCCCAAGTGGCCCACAAGATGTCCCGAGTAAGCCCCAAAAACATCCCGAAGACGCTCCAGGAGGCAAAATGTGTCCTATTCTCCTGTGGGCAAATATACAATCCCCAATTAGCGTTTGCAGTTAAGGGTTCCTATTTTTTCCAAAGGAACTAGGCTGGTGTGGCGGTCCGGCGGCTATTTTGTCGCCGTCGCCGCCCCGTCGCCGCCTCGTCGCCGCCCGTCGTCGGGTCTGGTCAGGCGGTCTAGCGGCTATGTTGTCGCCGTCACCGCCACTCGCCGCCCGCAATCCGAGTTGGTGTGGCGGTCTGGAGGTTATGTTGTCGCCGTCGCCGCCCCGTCGCCGCCGCGTCGCCGCCCGTCGTCTTCGGTGGTGTGGCAATCTGGCGGCTTGTCGCCGTCGCCGCCCCGTCGCCGCCGTAGATTCTTTTGTCCCACCAAAACAAGGTATACCTCCCCGGAAATAGCGACTTCCGGCTTCGTTTTACAATTTGCATGCGATTGTGCCCCATCGCCCATCCGAAATATGAAGTCGTACCATTCCAGGCAGGCCGGTATCGCCTCCCCTCGTCCTCTGCAACCACAATTATGCGCGCGCTCGTTCATCAAAAATCATCGGTTCGCAACCGTCGTTTACCAAAGAATAGAAAATGCGCACGTGCGCGTCGTCGCGCGCATGCCCGTATACTTCAAACACCTTTGGTTTAGCAGCGATTTGAAAAACGAGTGTCCAAGAAACGTATGAAAACACATGGTGCCACAACAAAAATGTGAATAGCAAATGCGCCCGCACTCTTGCAAATGCGGGGAAAACAACGCAGGTGTTTCAAAATTTTCATGTGATGCTACCGAACGGGCCTCTCGCGCGGTGTGTCGAAATCGTTCGCACGTCGTTTGCGCGCCCTGCCGCAATAACCCTTTGCAAAGAAGACGAAGTACACACACACGCGTGTCGTCGCGCGCGCATGCCCAAGTTCTTCAAATACCTCCGGTTTCGCAGACGTGTTAAAATCAAATGTCCCAAAAACACCAACAGTTTAAAAACATATGGTTTGACAGCGCCAAATGTCAACAATCACATGCGCTTGCGATGTTGTCTATACTTTGCCAGGAGGCCACGGAGTTTTTTGAACAGGTTCGTTTGATGCACATGTGTCATTCAATTCTGCCAAACGGGCCTCTCGCGCCGCATGCCAGATCATTCGAACGCCCTTGCGCGCACGCTGGGAAAGCACGATGCGTGTCAAATGGTATCATGCGGGCTACTCTCGCGTGTGGGCCGTGCACACATGCCGAACTCCTTCCAAAACCTTCATCACCGACGCGAGCACGCCGTCATCGTCGTCGGCGTGGTCAGCATCGGCGCCGTCACTGGTCATGCCATCGTCCTTGTCACCATCGCCACCAGCATCGCTACTATCATCATCGTGTCTACCGTTGTCGATTTTGCCATGACTCCGCGCCCGCCGAAGTCGCCGACTGGCACTGGATTGCCCGCTGGGAAGTGCTCAGCGGTCAGCGCCACCGCGGTCGTGTCGGTCGCGCCAAACTAGCTGGCCACCCGCTAGCGCTAGCGCGGCCGCAGACATGCACCAGCCAACACCAAACACCCACCGCAATCGCCGGCGCAGGGGCTTACGCAAACAAAGTTGCGGTGAGATGATTGCGCGAACTGTGGACTTGACAACTCACCGTGGACAGAAATGAACTGCACCACACATGTTGCACCATATGTATGTTTCGCTGCACCACAAAAAGTGCACACCATACATTGCACCATAGCGACTGCACCACACAAATTGCACCACATAGTTTGCACCAACGTGGATGCGACAAACAAGCTGCACCACATAGATTGCACTGCACTTTTCCACTACATGGATTTGACAACCTAGGTAGCACCACAAGAATTCACCACACAGGCTGCACCACAAATTTTGTATCGCATATGTTGCACAAAGTGGATTGCACCACGTAGGTTGCACCATATGCATCACAACAGAGATGCTGCATCACATATATATATATATATATATATATATCCTTTCAACACAAAACAAGCAATAAAACTCGACCCTCCCCAGGATGATCGGCCCCCCTTTGCGTATTGCAATGTAGCATATGATTCTGCCCCATCGTCCATCTTGAATCTGGGTTCATACCATCCAAGCCAAACCGGTACCCGCTCCCCCGCCATCCTCTGGAAAAGATACTATGCGCGCGCACTCGTTCATCAACAAACCATGAATTGTCAATGATCCTCTGCAGGACACAAAAGACAAAGTGCACACGCTCGCGTCGCCGCGCGCGCTTGCTCCAAAAACTCCGCTGTCGTAAGGGTTTCAAAATCGAGTGTTCAAACAACATTTTAAAACACAGTATTTCGCAACACTGGTATTCCAAAAAAACTTGCGCGCGCGCTCCTTATAAAACCAGAGAAGCTTCCAAACAATCCTTCCGAACCCTCCGCCCCAAGGAGCCCCCAAAGATCGCCAGCAGGCCCCCAAGATGTCCCCAAGAGGCCCCAGGAGGCCCAGAAGAAGCCCAAAGAGGCCCCGAAAGGGCCCCGATGAGGCCCCAAGGGGCTTCACGACTGCCTCCAAGAGGCTCCCCACAGGCTTCCCAAGAGACCCCAACAAGCTTGCAAGAAGCTTCTGACCCACAACCCGGGCACGTGGCAGGATGATAGTTTGAAGGCCGATAGATCATGATGTGCCAATTTTTGGGTGAAGGTGTATTGAAGACCCTTCGCGGTGATCTTGAGATCCTGGATCTCCCTCCCATCCCTTCTCGTTGCGCTGAGTTTGTCTCCATCAGCCGATGGGTGCCCTAGCGAGCCTGACCCCCCCCATGTGACCTGAACGTGTGATACGCAGGACGATGAACAGGAGAAGAGAAGGATGATGAAGGATGACCAGTGTAAACCCAAGAGGCGCATCATCGATGTTGCAATAACCCCCCCTTCCAAATTCAAGTATTCTCAGAAGTCCCTTCAAGACTCTACCTTCGCTGGAGGAAGGACCCCATCGAGAGACAACCGTTTGAGAATCCCCAACAGTGCCAAAACACCAATACTGAGGCTTCCACGTCCTGGAAAACCTAATTTGTGCCAGATCACCTTCCCTGGGAATTCATCCAATCGAATCAATGCTGATCTTGCGTCCTAGAATTTCTAGACCATGCTAGAACGCCGTTCCTGAGACTTCAGCCTTTGAATCCTTCAAGCTGCTGCAAATTTTGAAAACGAATGCGCGCGGCGCTAAGGCGAGAGTGAACCGTTGACAAGGACCCGACATCTATCCTTGAACCTGCTGCGAATTTCTGATTTCACGATCCTGAATGGTGAGGAAGTCTCGAGCGAAACGTCTGTCGCCCTACGGACACGTCTTAAGGCACGACAGGGAGGAGTTCTTCTTTTGTTTGTAAACTTCGGCTCGACCCCATGGGCTGCTTGTGCTATATCTCTCCGGAGACGGATCGGCGACACTGTGTGCTTTGTGGGACAGTTGGAAACACAATGGGATGAACAGAAGGCGGGCTGGGGGGGGAGGGGGAGGAAACGGCGATCAGTAGAGCTCTCAGGGGGAGGCTACAGATGACTTATCTCGAAAATAACTTAGGAATCCAGGAGCAGCAGCGGCAGCAGCAGCAGGAGGAGCGGAAAAAGGGGAAGGAGGATGAGGGAAAACGCGGGGGGGCGTCAACCACGAGGAAGGCATCATATCCAGAAGCCCAACGAACGCTGGGGCGAGAGCGGTTATGAACGACGGGAC